CCGGACGGAACCGATCGCGGCTGGTTTGAGCTGGTGCGTCTCCATGACGACACGCCCGCGCTATAAGTAGGGGAGCAGCGGCGCGTCGGGCTTTGTCAGTCCCCTCAGCCTCCGCCGCCGCCGCCCCTCTGCCAGCGCTCCGGCGCCACCTCGGGCCGGCGGTCCTCCGCGGGCGGGAGCGAGGCGGCGGGCTGACGGGGGCGGCCGGCGGTCCTGCGCGCTGAGCGGCAGCGGCGTCCCCATGGGGTTGGCTTGAGGCGCCCCTGCTTAAGGTGAGAGGGGCGCGTGCGGGCTTCAGGGAAGCAGGTGGGGGGACGGCCACGTGTCCCCGCGCGCCGGGCCGGGACGAAGGCCGGGGACTACAGCCCCGCGCCTGCTAGGGGCACGTGGCCGCGGAGCCGGCCGCCGGACCCCGGCCTTGGTGAGCCCCGGTGTCCCCGGTGAAGCGGGGTGCGGACCACCCGGCCCGGCGCGCCCCGGGCGCCGCCCTCCCCGCGGCGCGGCCAGCCTGTCCCTAACTGCCCCGGCGGAGGGCCGCCCGCGCCGCACCACTGACGTGGGGCTCCGAGCCGGAAGCTGCCGGGAAGGCGCGGTCGTTGTTCAGCCGCTATTTTTTTTTTGAACCCATGTGGCAAGCCGGGCGGCAGGTGCAGGCGAGGCTGAGCCGAGCGGAGCGGAGCGGAGCGGAGCGGAGCGGAGCGGAGCGGACCTCGCGGCGCCCGTCGCTCGCCTCGCCGTCGTGCGGAGGAGACGCACCATGATTCCGCCTCGTCCTGGAATTTTTCTGTTTTTAGTTTCGCTGTGTGTGCGGAGCGAATGGCCCGATATGGAACCCGCAGGAGTTGCTTGTAGCTAAGATAGCCCTGGAGTAGCTGTGATGGGTACTCGGCCAGCCGTGGCTGAAAAGTGCCCATTTAAGGAATCTTTGAATGACTTAGTGATTTATGAAAAGCCTGGAGAAGGACGATCCCAGTTCAGGAACAGAGTTGCACGCGGGAGCCAGCCCCAGGGTTTTCAAAATAGGCTGATTGTGTTTGAGAATCCTAAATAACTGGTGAGAGCGAGGGGAGCCGACCTTTTACAAATTTCTGGGGAGAACAAAGAATGTGTTGACTTGATTCGAACCTAAAATTGGGGCATAATTCAGTTGACTTGTAAATTGTTTTCAGTTTCGGTTTAAATTGGTTCCTAGCTCTTCTAACATTAAGGCAAAGACTTTTACAGCAGAAAAGTGCTGTCTTGTGCTAATCAATTCATCCTTTTAAGTAAGTTAGCTCGTGCGGAACACCAAGAGGTGTTCTTGGGTGAAATACCCCTATTGCAAGTTATTAAAATACAGCTTCAAAAGATACAGGAAAGCAAAATACTTAATAAATAGTGGTATATTTAAAAGAAAAACTTTCAGGTTTAAGCCTGAACATTGCCTTAAAGATATTTAACAAGACCCTAATTAATCCAATCTGTCACCACTTGAGCCTATTTAAACGCTATTTATATAGACAAAATGAATTTGCTGACCTTAGTCTATTGTCTTGCCTTAGGGGTGATTTAGGAGGTTTGACAATGCCAAAAAGTCGAATTAGATCAAGCCTTAAAACAGGTTCTACCACGCATGGGTTTGGATTTATGGCGGGTCCGTCCCCCTGGGCCTCTCATAGTGCCCCATGCCAGAGCAAACTGTGGCCCCGAACCATTGCCTTGCCTCTGCCCGTAGGCTGCAGGCACTGAAGCGGGTTGCACAGTGCAAAAGAAGGCTTTATACCTGGCAGGAGTTAAATAGATGTAAAATAATTTTAAGATGACTGTAATTCACCAATGCCACATTTCATGAAGGCCAAGGACAGTGGCTCTGATTGTTATGAGCTTTATTTTTGTTATTCATAATTCATTTATGCTTATTTTTGTTATTCATGAAGTTTGCCAAAAATTACTCTTGTGATTATCATTCATAGCTAAGCAAATATTAGCGTGCCTTGTTGGGGTTCCCAGAATTGCTGATTTAGTAAGCAATACTGGTTTAAGAATGCTGATTTCTGATCCGATACAGCAACTATAGTACATTATGTTGATTTGAAGATGCAGTTTTTAAAAATACATGCCCAGCATGAAAATAAGCTCATAAAATTCTCAGGAAACTTCAGAGCACTCAGTAAACTGAGAGCCCTAGACATTTCCATGATGCCTATTAGTCACTAAAAATTATTCTGTTTAAGACTTAGTAAAAGTTGGAAACAGCAGGATGTCTCACTGGCACCTTTTAAATAACTGCTATAATGCTGTTTTAAGCTTCTAAAGAACTGAAACAGCTCTGTAATAAAGCTCACCATTAGAAAACTTTTCCTTATCAGTGAACTAAGTACAGAAAAGCTTCTGAAGCCTACATTCTGCATTTTTCAGCATAGATGTTTGACGTGCTTATTGAGATACACAGTACTAGCTATAGAATTTGAGTGTGTGCTGCTTTGAAAACATCTGAAGTGTAGAATCTGGTGTCCTCAGATAGTGTGGAGGTTTATGGAATTGTGTGACTTAGACCTAGGAGTAATGGGATTCCCAAACCCAGAGAGTGAGCCCAGGTGCTGCTGTAGTCCTGCTTCCGGGGTGTGCATGGTTAGGGCCTAATCTTTCCATCTGATGTGTTCCTAAGGTGGACAGCAACTTCTGTGTTTATCAGGACATTTCCACGGCTGCATCGAGAGTATACTCATCTTCAGCAGGACTTAGAATTCCTGGAGAGTTGCCTTTGTGAAAAGCTGGCAATAATTTCTTTAAGTTCCGTCTCTTAGTTTTCCTTGTAAGTATTCATGGTTGTTGGGCTAATCTTGTTACGAATTACTAAGTATCTCTAAGGCTTCTGAGTCAGTTTCTCTACCCTATTTACAATTTGTTGCGTTTCAGAACATCCAGAAACCATGAACAACTTTAGCAATGAAGAGTTTGATTGCCATTTCCTCGATGAAGGCTTTACTGCCAAGGACATTCTGGACCAAAAAATTAATGAAGTCTCTTCTTCCGTAAGTATATTAATCTGTGCTGGCAGCGTTGCTGGAGAATGCCAGGCCGATGAGTGGGAAACTTGGTGGGGTCTTAGGGAAATGTGGTGGAACTCGGTTTCTTGTGTGGGAATTTAGATTTAATTGGCTGTGGATCATCCAGTGATGATAATGATATTCATGTCAGTGACTGGACTAAACCAGAGCAGGAGTCAATGAGAATGTTGGACATCTTGTTAGGCAGTTTAATAAGTCCCCTGTGACCACTCTTACCGTAGGATGATAAGGACGCCTTCTATGTTGCGGACCTGGGAGACATTCTGAAGAAACATCTGAAATGGTTAAAAGCTCTTCCTCGGGTCACCCCCTTTTATGCAGTCAAATGCAATGATAGCAGAACCATAGTGAAGACCCTAGCTGCCATTGGGACAGGATTTGACTGTGCCAGCAAGGTAAGCAGAAAGCAGCAGGACTCGAAATGATTCTGTCAGATGGCCCTGGTGTTCCCAACAGGGCAGATCAAAGTTGTGTTTCTGGGACAGTAGATGTTAGAGTTGGGGGGACTAGAGGGACAACTTCCTGTGTTTTTCTGTTTCTTTCATTTCTTAGCTACATATGTATAGTGTAAACACCTCTTCTTTTTCAGACTGAAATACAACTGGTACAGAGTCTTGGGGTGCCTCCAGAAAGGATTATCTATGCAAATCCTTGTAAACAAGTGTCTCAGATCAAATATGCTGCCAATAATGGAGTCCAGATGATGACTTTTGATAGTGAAGTCGAGTTGATGAAAGTTGCCAGGGCACATCCGAAGGCCAAGTGAGTCACTCTTCCGTATGAGGGCAGGGTCAGATATGGGCTCTCTATCGTCAAACAAATTCAGCTTGCCAGTCCTTAGATCCTGTGCTTAGTAAATTACCTGTGTTGGGTCAAAGACCAAGTAGAAAATAACTTAACCCCTCTTGATAATAGAGCAATTTTAGACTAAAACCACAGAGTGTCAGAGCCAGGGATTCTCTTTGTATTGTAACCATGTCTGTAAGTGATCTTGTCATGCAAAGCTGATAGCCTTTTCTTCTAGGTTGGTTTTGCGGATTGCCACTGATGATTCCAAAGCAGTCTGTCGTCTCAGTGTTAAATTCGGTGCCACACTCAAAACCAGCAGGCTGCTTTTGGAACGGGCGAAAGAGCTAAATATTGATGTCATTGGTGTCAGGTGAGATCTTGGTGGTTAGAGGCTAAGATAATATTAGACAATGTAAGTTTTTACAGGTTTTTTTCTCACTTAAATAGTTATTTTCAGAACTAGTGTATTCTTTCTTGTTGCTCCAGCTTCCATGTGGGAAGTGGCTGCACTGATCCTGAGACCTTCGTGCAGGCCATCTCTGATGCCCGCTGCGTCTTTGACATGGGAGTGAGTATATCTAAACCCCAAGAGGGAGGTGCGGGCAGGGCCGACAGTAACTAGTCATCTCATATTACAGAGGCTTATACCCATTTGCTGTCTACATTTTTCATGATTTATTATGAAGCTGGCTGTTTGATTGACTTAATTTTCTTGACTCTAGGCTGAGATTGGTTTCAGCATGTATCTGCTTGATATTGGTGGTGGCTTTCCGGGATCTGAGGATGCGAAGCTGAAATTTGAAGAGGTAATTCATAACAAAACTACAATATACTGTAGCCATTTTAGCAAAATTGTATTTAACATCCTTTGGTTTTCTAACCTAATATGAGTCAATTTTCCTTACAAGACTTGGAAAACAGTTGATTACATTAAGAAATATTGCTGTGGAAATAAGAACATGCTGACTTGATTAGTAGAGAAAGTCCTCACTTAACATTGTCAATAGGTCTTGGACTTGAAGAGAAAGGATGTGTAACAAAACCCAGTTGTGCCATAGGCTAATTGATATAAGCAAGAGTTAAGTTCCTATGGCTTCTCATCAACTTGACAGCAAAATGACAACATTTGAATAAAGTGACGTAACTCGGGGACCTGCTGTGCATCATTATGCCAAATGTACTTTCCTAGAATTAGTGTTTCCTCTCCTTAAAGCATTTTGAGTGTTTAGTCACTACAAAGTTAAGAAGCTGTTTGTTATATGGTGCTTGAGTTTATACAAAAGATCACATTCTTATTTATTAAAATTATGTGAAGTTGGCAGAAGAGAAAGTTTTATCCTGTTGGCATGAGAAGATATTTAGGCACTCTGATACCTTATAAGTGGTAATTTGTTTTGCACTATTTCATAAACCCATAACATCCTAAAAAGGATAGAAAGCGTATCTGGAGGGGAATCAAAGTGAAACCATGGGTGTGTCCAGGCTGCTTTTCATGGAGATGTTTATTTTTATTTTTTGTTGTTGTCGCTTGATAAGACCTCTGCTGATGGCTGCTCTTAAATGTATTTATGTCATGTCAGAGCACTGTGCTCTCCTCCCTGGGGTTCCCCTTCATGGCTCACTGCTCCTGTCTTGTCTCTCTCGTAGATCACCAGTGTAATCAACCCAGCGCTGGACAAGTACTTCCCATCAGACTCAGGAGTGACAGTCATAGCTGAGCCAGGCAGATACTATGTTGCATCAGCTTTCACGCTTGCAGTTAATATCATTGCCAAAAAACTCGTATTAAAGGAACAAATAGGCTCTGATGGTAGGTATATACAGGGTAAATCATGGTGTGTGTAACTGGAAGCTGGTGCAGAATGTGGTAATTGAGACTAATCTGCTTTCTAGATGAAGATGAGTCAAGTGAAAAAACCTTTATGTATTACGTGAATGATGGAGTGTACGGATCATTTAATTGCATCCTCTATGATCACGCCCACGTGAAGCCCCTCCTGCAGAAGGTACCTTCTGATTATAATACTATATGTGAGGGGCAAGGTGATTGGCCTCAACAGGCGTAACTAGGTATGTTTCCCTCAAATGCAGAGGCCCAAACCAGATGAGAAGTACTACTCCTCCAGCATCTGGGGGCCCACGTGTGACGGCCTCGATCGCATTGTTGAGCGCTGTGGCTTGCCCGAGATGCATGTGGGCGACTGGATGCTCTTTGAGAACATGGGTGCTTACACCGTCGCTGCCGCTTCTACTTTCAACGGATTCCAGAGGCCGACCATCTACTATGTGATGTCAGGGCCGACATGGTTAGTGACAGTGCGTGTATAAGGTCCTGATAGGAAATTATTTTGCTTAGGATTAAATACAATGTTTTTTTAAAATTTTATTTTCTCTCTGTGTTAAGAATACATACTCTAGAAAATTTGGAAAATACAAATGGATGAAAACAAAATCTTTCCGATAATAGTGGTTTGTATTTTCGGATTTTTCCTAAGCCATAACCATTTTAGAAGACTTGTTAAGACACTTCTATGTAACGAGAATGTCTTAATGAATCATGTGATCTGTGGTTTCCTTATTACCAAAAAGATGGCCCTAAAGAAATGTTTGCTTTAGAAATACATTAAATTGCTTCCTGATGACACAGTGACCAAGGAAGTAAATAGGCTCATGAATAAGTTATTCGAAACTGCTGTTATGGGTGACTCAGGGTTTCTGAATATGCCATTTCTCTCTCTCTCAGGCAACTGATGCAGCAAATCCAGAACCATGACTTCCCACCTGAAGTGGAGGGGCAGGATGTCAGCACTCTACCTGTGTCTTGTGCCTGGGAGAGTGGGATGAAACGCCACCCAGCAGCCTGTGCTTCAGCTAGTATTAATGTGTAGATGCCATTCTTGTAGCTGTTACTGCGAGTGTAGCTTGAATTAAGGGATTTGGGGGGACCATTTAACTTAATTACTACTAGTTTTGAAATGTCTTTTTAAGTAGGGTTGGCAGATGGAACAATATGGAAGACTAGGAGATGGGGTCACACTTATCTGTGTTCCTATGGAAACTTTGAATATTTGTTTTATATGGATTTTTATTCACTTTTCAAACATGCTACTAAAGAGTGCCCCTCAGCTGCTGAGCAAGCGTTTGTAGCTTGTACATTGGCAGAATGGGCCAGAAGCCTGGTGTTGTGACCTGTTTGAAAAATAAAGTCTCTTGAAATAATTAGGCATTGGGAGATTTTCACAGTGTGTCCATTGCAGATGGCTCACCTTGGATGTGTTTTACAAGTGGGAATTGATGTATTTTCCCCCACGGGCTGAGAGAATTGTTCCAGAGGACTTAGGAGTTAATGGTTTTTGTTATTTTGAAACCCTGTGGAAACGCCTTCTTCCTTTTGGCATTTTTAGTTCAAGTCCATGAGTCCTGTATCAAGTTTGCTGTGGATTCTCACAGGAATAGCAGATCTAGCCCACATGCGGGTAGAAGGAAACGAATGGGTGAGACAGGCAGTACCCTCTGCTGATGACAGTGGCCAACGTCTGCCTTGGTGGCTCAGCCCACCCTGAATGTCCACAGGGTGGCTGTGAACGTGGAATGCCCGGACCGCTTGTTAACTAACTGGCCTGCTCCTATCGTGGCCAGTGCCCCGGGAAGGTGCACTAGGCCCTCTGAGCCCTGCCCACAGAGACCAGAGAACGTTCCCTTCCCACCTTGACTTCACTCCAGGACAAGCTGCATAGTTAAACAAGCTAGGAATGTAGTACGGCATTTGACTGTCAACTTATTTTAATAAATTCAGCAATTATTCTGTGTTACAGATCTTTACCTTCTCTGACCTTGACCACTGGTCTTGTATGTTTTCTCATTCAACTTACACCCTGCTCCCCCCAAAAGTAGCAGGCTCTCATACTACTTAAACCCCAGAAGGAGAATTTTGAGTCCCTGCATGATGGCACGAGTGAGGAAGGGGGGGCCATGTACAAGCCGAATGTTTCTCTAGGAGGCCCCCAGCTTCATTAGAGGGACGTGGGAAAGCAGCAAGTGGTCCAGGTGGGGAAGCTTTGGCTTCATCTATCTCGGAGTAGACGAAGCCCTCCAGCTGCTGCTGTCAGCCCACAAAGGCGCTGAGGGGATCGATTCCCGGGACCCTAGAAAGCCACCTTCCCCCAAGGCCTTGGTCCCACATGGTGGACACTGCATTGCTATGATTTCTGGTTCCCTCTTCCTTGGCTGCTCAACCAGACGAGGGCTTGGTTTGTCGCCAGCTCTGGTCTCCCTCCCTGGACCCAATAATGTGGCTTTAGTTGCCAGAACATATGAATAATACTTCTCAGGCGCCACAAAGAAAATAGGTTCTTCCTGGGGTGGGGGTGGGGGGGCGATGGAACGACTAATCGACAGTCTGCCCCACTTCCTGTGAGCACATCCTTTTCTGGCTCTTTATGCCCACCACTAACACAAAGGAATTCGCAGATTCCCCCCAAAATGTGAGCTAGCCACCAAGCCTAAAATCTTAAAAAGGGAAGGCATTAACAATCACTTAGGGAGCATCTTAAATACAGATTGCTGCCCCCCCGGCCCAGACATGGGTTGGGAACTGGGGCAACTGGGTGATGACTGGAAAAAAAGATCCCCAACTCACTGATGACCAGTCAATTGCAGATGAAAGTTCAGTGGAATGGTGAGACTACAAAACTATTAGGAGACATTTGAAAAGGCGAAGGACAAATGGGGAAAACAACGGCTCATGAAGCTAATTTTCTTTGTATTGAAAGGGCTCCACTAAATGAACAATTCAATAGGAAGTGGGCAAGACATGACCAGGGGTTCAAAGAAAACCTTTTGAACATGAAGAGATTCTCTAACGCGTATTAAAATCTTGGGAATCATTATCACCTGTCAGATTGGCAAAGATAAGACAGGGACCCCTAGCTTGCTGGGTAAGCAGGATGCTTGCCCACGAGAGATGGGAAAGTGGATTGCAGGAACACTCAGGGAATTGGGCAGTATCAAAATAATCCACGTTATCTTTGAACCAGCAATTCTTAGACTACTGACAGACCTGCTTACAAGGCTTGTGATGGCACTTGGCAACGGCATGTGCTAGAAGCAACCCGGATGCACACCCAGAGGGTGCTGATGAGGTCACTGGAACGGGACACACTGCGTGAAGGACGTGCAGACCCAGAGGGACCGATACTGGAGGAAGAGCTGGTGAGGGCGCTGCGGGCTGCACGACCATGGGTGTGAAAAGCAAACCCACCTCGCCGTGTGTGTACACACAATCTTGCACATGCACAGAACATTTCTGGAAGAACTGACAAACTGGTAGGAGAATGAGGCCCAAGGAGGAGGATGGAGACTGACTTCATGTGCACATGTCTGTGTTACTGATTTTAAAGAAATTTGAAAAGCCTCCAGGTGAGAAAAGAGGCTCGGAGATGAAGTCCTCAAGTCTGGCTCCTGTGTCCCCTCGGTGTGTTTCCTAGTTCACAAGCGTGCTGCGAAACCTGGGCCAGCGGGCTAGGTCAGGGACCTGGGCGGGCTTGGCCAAGGCCTGCTCTTCAGCTTCACAGGGCGCAGAGCTGACTCACGCCACTCAGGTCGTGAGGCTCCCACTGGAGCCAAGGCCGAGAGCACTGAGAACATTGGTGCGCTTGGGAATTTTGACAGGTCAACCCCTACTTCCCCCAAAGGTGGGGCGTTCTGCTCTGTCAGGAGTCATCTGGGGTCAGGATCAGACCCTGAGTGCTGGAGCTACCCGCTATGGCACTGCCCTTCATGGACCAGTCTGCACCAAGGGTGGCCAAAGCCTGTGGACAGGCCACTGTCCATGCCTTTGGCGGCCCTCTACCCTCCTGGCCGACCTTCCTGTATGCCACCTCGTGGGTGGGACCCACGGGCCTACCCATTTCTCATTCAGCTTGTCGTTTAGCCTGTGCTCCCATGCCCCTCACAGTGACCCCTACCATGGTGACCTTGCATTTCTATGCAAATTCCATCCTTATTAGGTGTTAGGTTATTCACATGCTGGCTGGTCTCTTCTGCTAGGGGCCTTTTCTGGCCATCACCCCATACTTTCTTCAGTGTGGGCCCTCCCCATACTGGGTCTGGGGGGCTCACTTCAAGCCATCTCTGAGTCCTGCTGGAGGACTGCCCCTGGGGGTGAGATCAGCCTTTTCTAAACCAAAGGCCCTGAGGAGCCTTGGTACCTGGGGGTGATGGGAGTTCAGGTGGAGGGGCTCTGCCCTCTCTGTTTTACCCAGTTTAACGAATCAGGCTTCCAGGTCAGATGTCATTTGAAGAAGGTCTTTGCTGAGGTCTCCCAGCCTCCCTTTTAACAGACGGGATGAAGCCCCGACAGGCCAAGTGCGCCGGGCGAGGTGAGCCAGCCAGTTAGGAGGACCTTGGAGTAACTAGGTCCTGTTTCTCTGGCCACTCACCAAAGGAAAGGAAGCATGACTAACTGAGCCTCCTTTTCTGTCCCGCCAAGGGGGGGACACAGCTCCTGGTCCTTGCTCACTCCCTGTCTCGGGCGGCAGTAGAGGGTGGCCCCGAGCCCTGCAGAGGTTGGCATCGTGAGCTGCAGTCATGAACTGACCCAGCTAAACCCGGACCTGCTAGGGACTGGGGCCCCCACCGCCGCCTCCTCCTCAAAGGGAGGCTGCAGAGTGCTTACCTGGCAGGGTTGTTGAAGCAGGATCGGTGAAGCTCAGGGTTTCGTGCACTGAGTGAAACACCTGGACATCCCTGCTGCTATTTTGGGGAGTAGAAGGATTTAATCCATCCTTATTGCTAACTTTAGAATGAGGAGGGTCAGGTCACGACAGGACATGCTCTGCCTCTGGCCACAGGGGCTACTGAGATGGCGCCTTAGTACGGGTGACCTTCCTCAGGCTGTGCTTGGCGAGGGCTGAGCAGGGAACGCTGAGGGCCTCCGAGCGGGCCCAGCCTAGGGGGTCAGGCTGGGCTGAGTGAGGATAAGAGTCTTTGAGGGCAGCTGGTTCGCTCAAGTGGTTAGCGTGCAGGCTCATCACACCAAGGTTGCTGATTCGATTCCCACATGGGCCAAGGAACTGCGCCCTCCACAACTAGATTGAAACAACCACTTGACTTGGAGCTGATGGGTCCTGGAAAAACGCACTGTTCCCCAATAAAATAAAATAACAAAAAAAGGGTCTTTGAGCATGAGGGGTGGTTCCACCAGGAAGACCATGTGTTCTTGCCCTGGGAGTGGCCAGTGAGGTGGCCTGGCCCCTCCAGCTTCTGACCTGTCCCAGCGGTCGAGCAAGCTCAGCTCCATGGCTTGACAAATAGGATTGCCAGATGTAGCAAATAAAAATATAAAATATTGCGTGAGACATGTTAATACTGAAAGATTATTTGTTGTTTATCTGAAATTCATATTTAACTTGACAGGGTACCAGGGTACCAGGTTACCAGGAACCCAGCCTTAGAGTTTGTGCACTTCGTGGCTCACAGGAAAATCAGGTGCTCCACAGAAAGCCCCTACATAAAGCAGGCCCAAGCACCTCCAAAACCAGGCTCTGGGGAAGCCTTAGGAGGGGTCTACACAACCAAGCCTGGGATGCCTTCCCAGCCGCAGCCACCAGGGGGCAGCAGCACCTAGAGCTTGAGGCTCCTCTGTGGGTCCGGTGCTATGACCAGGTTGTCGGGTCACTTAATCACTCAGCAAACGCTGACAGAACCAATTGTGACCGAAGAGTTGTGGGATTAAGAGTGTAGCTTGGCTCAGAGGGCGATCCAGGGCCAGCCGCATCAAGGTATCCAGGGTTTTAAGAACAGAGCTCCAGGCAGCCTTGTCCCCAACCAGGTTGCTCCCCCCAAAGCTCTTCCTGAGCCCCTCTTGGTGAAGCTCACCTCCCAGCCCCGCTCTGGCCCTCCTGCCTCACTCCCAGTGAACCGCTGGTGGGTCCCAGCAGCCAGTGTTCTTGCTGCCCCCTGCCTGTTGGGAGTGGGTAAGGCACCCCCGCAGCCACCCCGCTAAGGTTCTCATACCACGCCTGGGGCCCGCCTGCCACCCCTTCAGCCCTGGACCCTGCCTGCCTGCCCCTGCCCTGGCTATTTGGGACGACTTGGCCTCCCCACTGAAGCATGAGTGCTGTGGGAAGCACAGGGTGCTGCCCCCATCCATCCCCGACCCACTCAGCTGGCCCTGAGGCCAGGGCTCAGGTCCCACTTATCTCCAAACATCAATACCAGTGTTGCCCCATCTTTGCACCAGTGAAGACCCCAGGTACATGCTCTTCCCACTCCGGGGTGCCTGGTCCTAGCTCTGGCTCTGGCCCCCATCACTTCCAGCCCTCACTCTGAGCCAGAGAGTCAGAAGGGCAGACCCGGCCCACAGGGGAGCTTTGCACTCCCCTAAGGCCCCACATTCCCTCTCGCCCCCCTCCCCCCGCCGCCGAGCACACACACACACACACACACACACACACACACACACCGGCTGACATGCAAGGTCACGTTCAGCACCCCTGGCTCTGGGCCGTCTTACCGATGGGATAGGGAGGGGCTAGTCCAGGGTCACTTGGCCAAACTGGGACTTGTTTGTCCAGGGCCCATGGGTGCAGCTCCAGACAGCAGGGGTGGGTCACATGTTGACATATTCATTTGTTCGCTCACTCATTGCCCAGCAGCTCTTTCTAAGCCGGGCCTGGCACTGGCTCTGGGGTACGGGGGACCAGAAGTGAGCTGACGAGGTCAATACGAGGGGAAGCACCATGCGTGAGGGGCACGTGGGGAGTGTAGGGAGGAGTGCGGAAGCTTTCGGAGGAAGGGACATTTACACAGTCTTAGGAACGGCATGGTGTAGGGGTGAGATGAAGTTCAAGGAGGCCACTGTCAACCCAGTTGGGGCCAGGAGCAGGGTGGGTGCCCTACAGCAGGAGCAGAGCTGGCCTGGCTGACAGCCAGGGCCAGGGTGGGCTTGGGTTCCCCCACCGTCCCACCTGGAATGAGCTACCAGGGCTGCCACTCAACACGGCCTCACACATCTCCAGGAGCCACCAACCTGCCAACACAGGCCCAGGCCAGCTGCTCCAGACACTCGATGCTGAGCTCTATACAGGACGTGCCTGGGTGTATATCCATGACACCTCAACGTCGGACACACTCCAAACTGGACCCGTACCACAGAGCCGCGTCTACAGACTCAGCCACAGACCACATCACCTGTCCCTCCCCAAACATACAGACACACAGATCACACACAGAGACCATCCCCAACACACCAGAGACCACACCGACCCATACACACACACACACACACCAGTAAAGGGGGCATTGTTTGGGGCCAGACGACTTGGCTAGTTCTGATTTTGCCACTGACATCCTGGGACCAGACTTAGCCCTGAGGGGTCTGGCCAGTTGCTAGTGGAGTCTGGGAGTTGGTGATGGGTCTGTGCGGCAGGTCTCCTCCCTTCCCTGGGCCTGTTTCCTTGTCACCTGCAGGTGGAGCAGGTGCACTGTGATGGCCCTTGTAAACTGTAAAGTGCTGTAAGAGCAAGACAGCAATGCTGGGGAGTGTGTGTGTGTGTGTGTGTGTGTGTGTGTGTGTGTGTGTGACAGGCAGTGACAGCATGTGTGTGTGCGCGAACCGCTGGCACACCCAGCTCACAGGCAGGAGGGAACGGCCTCCTCTGGACCTGGCCAGGATGGGATCAAGTGAGCCCTTTCATGATGCAGGGCAGGTGGCAGGCCCTTGGAGATGGCCTTCAGGTCTTGGCCTCAGGGAGGCCCATCCCTAGCTCAGTCCCAGAAGCTGCTGGAAAGAACCCACAGGCGATGGAGGGGACAGGCTCACTCTTTGCTCTCATGGGGTGGCTGCCTTCCTCCCCGGGCCCTACGTTCACGCCATGGCTCCTCTGGCCCCTGGCAGCGCCCAGCTTGGCCACAGCCCAGGCTCATCTCCAATATGTTTGCTCCATAAACACCCCTCCCTCCAGGCCCAGGCTCACAGCCTCCTTCACCTGTGTCTCTAATAGCCAATATCCCATAGAGAGAGGTCCCACTGGTTCTGTTTCTCTGGAGATCCCTAACACAGCGGCCATTCGCACCTGTGCCCACCGGACATTGTGCCCCATTTGTAGTCCTCCCCAGCAAGCACTACTGATTTAACCTTTGCCAGTTCTGGTTCCATTTTTGTAAAATTCAAGCCCCTCAGTGGGAGGGGAGATTCCTCCAAGCCAGACGGAGTTGTCAGAGGCACCGTCTTGGCTGTTTGTATCCACTCCCAGGCCACCTGGCCTCACCCTCCCACCCCACCCGATGGTGCTGCCTGTGGCTCTGGGCATGTCTGGAGTTTCACCATGAACCAGCCCCTGGTGGTGCCACTGGCTTGGAAGACACTTGCAGATGAGCTCATTGTTTCCATTCAGAGGCATGAAGTCTTAAAAGATATTAAGATTACTAAAATCAACAAAATAGCCACCGTCCCTGATAGACTGTCATGAGTCAGGCTCCAAGCTATATGCTCTGCGCACTTACCTTGATCACCTGCCTCCTCGTTACACCCCTTCTACAGGTGAGGCTCAGAGAGGTCCCCTGGCAGGTGTGACAGACACTGTTGGCAGCCATCTTGGAACCAGAACCCCAATCCTGTTCACTCTTCCTGGTGCCATGCCCTTTGGGGGAGGTGGGCCTCCTCAGCCGAGGGTGCACATTGACTGGCCATTTGACATAACCACCTCGTGCTCCTGGCCAAGGCCTGGCCTGGGTTTTGGCCAATGAGAAGTGAGGCTCGTGGGGAGGGAGAATTCTAGAAAGTTCTCCTTCTCAAAGAAGAGCAGGAGATAGGGCTGCTTCTCTTCCTGCCTATGGAATGCTCCCTGTCAGCTGTACTGCTCAGAACGGCGACAGCCCTGTAGGGACCCTGAGAAGACAACTGTGAGGACAAAAGCTGACTGTGAGGCTGGAGGGTGGGTGGTGGAAGGAACCTGGTGCTCTCGAGCTGCTGAACCAGCCCGGTCTGCAGCGTGCTGCCTTCGGACTCCTCGGCCGGTGAGACGAGCATCCTCATGGCCGAAGCACCTTCTGCTGGGTTTTCTGCTGCTGGGACCAGAAGCGTCTCGATGCCACAGGCTGAGAAACCAGCTTCTGCTCCAGAGTCCCTGCTGACATCCCTGGTCCCCACTCGGTCCTCACGGGTATGTGCTGACCTACGGCCTTGCTGATTAAACCACAGGGTAGCGGGAGGGAGGGAGGCAGGCAGAAGTGTCACAGTCAAACCTGCCACGAACAGCCATCTTTTATTTCCAAGCGTATTTCCTGGCATTAGGCTGACATTGAAGTATCGGCTGCACAAGATTTATAGACACAGTGACAACTACAGGGACACAGGAGAGGCCAAGTTTACAAACAGCATCTCCACCCACTGAACCCACCTTTACCGAGAGCACTGAGGGCCAGAGGAAGCAGAATGGGGCTCTGACAGGCCAACACAAAGCTCAGAGAATTCCGTTTATTTGATCATTTTAATACAGGAAATGCTGGACCAATCAACAGGAGGACAAACTTTACACAGACGCCTGCGGTCACTGTGTGGACAGGAGGGTCTCCATGGCAATGGGACGCATGCATTTCCTTTTGAGACGGGCAGGTGGAGTGCATAAATACCACAAAATAACCAGGCTCGGAAGGGTCACAGGCCACAAGAGAACCACACTTCAGAGGCAGTCGAGGCATTAAATACGGAACCTACACGTGACATTTCACTTCACCATACGCATAATTTATATATTAAAAGAAAGGAAACCACAGTATATATACGTGCGAGCGGCTTTGGTCAGAGAAAATGAACGAGCTAGGTGGTGCCATGCACGGGGAGGGCTTGCCGTCTACTCTCCCTCCATTCTTGTTCCCACCTTACCCGCATTCACCTGCAATCACAAAATAAATTAGCTGGCCTTAGCGCCATCTTAGAAAGGCCCACCAGTGTCCTCGGTGGTGTCCTCTGGGCTCCCTGAGGGCGGGGAGGTGCCCTGGAAGCGAGAACACTGAACCCTGCGTGTAAACATCCCCAGGAGTCACCCTGGATGGGACCGGGGAAGGGGTGGGAGAAGGCCAGGTGGAGGAGGGAGGTGCAGCTGCAGGGCTGGGCAGGTGCCACGTGGCACCTGGCCTGGCCCGGGAGAGCAGGAATGGTCGAAGAGGCATCCACTTTTGCAAGCAAAGCTTAAACGGCGAGACAAGCCTGTGTTTCTCTGTAACTGTCCAGACGTCGGGTCCCTTAGAACTGACTTGCACTGCTGGGGTCACACTGTAACAACCGGACGATGGAGGGGTCGCTCTTGGCACCTTTAATGAATTCTTCCAGGGACAGTTTGCCTGTGGGAGGGAGGACGGGAAATGAGAGTTAGCCAGTGCTCACCGTTCTTCGCCTTCCAGAGCATGCGGACAGCACCACGTCAGGGCCGCCCGCTCTGGGTCCAGTCTTGCGCTTTCCTGAGGCTGGACGCTGTCCAGGCGCCACTCACTTCGAGGGTATTTCTGGAAAAACCCATTTTGCTTTCACTGCTCACTGCAGAGCGTCGGGAAACTCAAGGACACACCCAGCATGACTGTAGCCCGTGGGGTAATTTAAATCCTTTTAGAAATCACCCCATGCATTACTTATGAAAGGTGTGACTTGCCCAGAAAGAGCATGGCCTCTGCCTCGAATCCATAACTGATCCAGGGCTGAAGGGGCCTGAGGCAGCCCAGGGTGCCCAGGGTCACTGCCCAGGGTGTGAGTCCCTGCCAGTCCAGCTCAGCTGTCCACTGGAGGCAGCAAGAGCTTGCTGCTTGCGCTGGGAGAACTGCTTTCTGCTTCTGTAGCATCTGCCCCTGGGGGTGGGTGGACTAGAGAAAGTGGCCAGGCTGAGAGTCCCGCCGGTACCTCCTTCAGCCTGGGTCCCTCCCTCCTGCCTCAGAGACCCTGTTACTTCTAGGATCCAGAGAGAGAAAAGAAGTGTTTACAACTAAAGTGCTGCAGTTCCAGAGGAACTGATGCTAGTGACAAAGACGTTCTCTCCCTGGGGTTCCCTCTCCCAGGGCACAGACCTGGGGCAGGACCTAGGTTTGAAGCAGACTCTGTAACTGGGTGGCTTGTGCCTTGGCGAGCCTGCTTCTCCCCTCTGCTGAGGGGCTCTGTGAGGGGAGTAGTGACGTTTACCCGGGGGACAGATGTAAGGGGAACACAGGAGCTCAGGGCCCGTGCCCAGCATACTAAAGGAGGAACAGGGTTGAAGCACGTGAAGGGCTCTGGGTCTGTCACCACAGGCCAGCTGCTAACCTTCCCGCATCTCAGCACTTCATATGCAGAGCGGGACCACAGGAATACCCATCTCCAAGGGCCACGAGATGGATTACCGGCGAAGATGCCTTTGAGGGCTTCAGCCCAGGCCTGGCCTGGAGGACACACTCGGTTAGGAAGCTGCTGTTAGGAAGCCAGGAGCAGGCAGCAGAGAACAGATAGAGCCGGTCATCAGGGACCTCCCCTTAAGCACGGGGAGAGGGACACCTCCTTCTGTGGGTCCCCAACAGGGGGGCAGGCAGGCTTGTCCAACAAAAGACTAAGCAACAAAGCCCAGGCTAAGGGGTGGATTTGGAAAGGAGGGGACAGCCACGCCGCCCCAGGGGAGAAGGTCCCCAGACCCTCCATCGATGCAGAGGGGCCCTTGGGCTTTGCTTTTCTCCATGCCTTGGTGGAACTTCTACGGGCCACTCCTCAACTCCTCAGCGGGGAAGATTCTGGAGGCACTGCCCCTTCCTCCAGGGCCCAGACAGAGCACTGAGGACAGAGCCCTGAGGACGGAGCCAGGGTGCAGGCCCGGGTCTCCCTGACTGAATCCTGGCGAGGTGAGGCCAGGGGTGGCAGGCTGGGGAAGGCCTGAGAAGCTGCAGAGCGGGAGGGAAGTGTCCCAAACACAGCTTTGCTCCTAGCAGGGTCACACGGACACACGGGGACCCAGCACCCTACCATCATTGTTGGTGTCCATCTGCCTGAAGATCTTGTCTGTCCGTTTCTCTGGAGTGGACTCGTCCTCGGGCATCTTCATCACAGAGGACACCATTTTGTAAATAGCCTGCAAAGGGGCAATGGAAGTGTATGCTCAGAGATACTGGAGCATTCCTGGGCGAATGGGGCAGGTGTGAGCTTCTACCCAGCCCACATCACGGTACAGAGAGGTCGGGGTGCTGCTTGGCCTTCAGGCCCCTTCCCCAGCTACAACGTTCCCTGCTACTCCCAATAACGTGGGTGAGTATCACAGATGGCAAAGGAAGACAGACATTTCTGCTGCAACGGCTGGAAGACGGGTGGGAAGCAGAGAGTGCTGGGCTGGTCACTCCTCAGGCCACTTGCTGCTGGTCTAGGAGCTCATGGGGTTGACACCCTTTGCTCAGACTTAGCCCTGACCTTCCTTACAGGTAGCGAGAACACCTCGTCTGAGGAATTCTAGACCTGAAACCCCCAGGCTCCAGGAGTAGGGGCGCTGGGGGGGCAACCAGGGAGCAGTAGCTCTGTGGTCCTCTGCTCTCCATCACACACCTAGGCACCTGGTAAAGCGAACAAAACTCGGTTTCTTTCTGGAAAACAGCCTCGCCTGCCAGAGCTGTTGATAGGTGTGCAGGCGAAGAGAGAGGTCTCATAAAGTGGTGTTCTTCCTGTGCCAGAGCTCATTCTGTGATCGCTAATGTTCCCACTTTACTTTATAATCGCTCGTGCCTGGGGACATTACAAGCTGTTTGTTGCATTCTCAAATACGGGGACTCACAAAGGTCTTGGCAGGAGCCTTCTGCAAGTGTCAAGGGTCCTCTCAATTACTGTAATTCTCAGCTCTGCTAATTCTTAGGAAATCTCCTCTCTCAGCCTCAGATTTTGTGAAACGCAGAGAATGACCCACACATAAGGCTGTGGAGACCAAACCTGATCCAAGTGCTTAGGCCAGACGAGCTGTAGAACAAACAGCTCTTATCATCACTACGGGCAAGGACCCGCCCCATCAGGTGACGACGAGAGAGCGTGCACGGGCGAGGGGCAGCAGCGACCTGGCCGAGAACACGCGAGCGCCGTGGTGAACGCAGCCAGCGCGGTCCCGCAGGGGCCTGGCGCGCAGCGGGCCCCGCAGGCCCCTGGCCACCCCTCCCGGGCGCCATCCGTACCTGCACGATCTCCAGCATCTCGCTGCGGCTGATGTAGCCGTTGCCGTCCAGGTCGTACATGCTGAAGGCCCACTTGAGCTTCTGCTCCAGCTTGCCCCGGGAGGTGACGCTCAGCGCGATGATGAACTCCCGGAAGTCGATGGTGCCGTCGCCGTTGGTGTCGAAGGTGCGGAAGACGTGCTCAGCGAACTTGGAGGCGTCGCCGTAGGGGAAGAAGTTGGCGTAGATCTTCTTGAACTCGTCCACCGTCAGGTGGCCGGTGGGGCAGTCCTTGAGGAAGCCCTTGTACCACTCCTGCAGCTCGTGGTCCGTGAACTCGGTGTTCTCGCGCAGGTCCTGCAGCACCTCGGGCCGCAGCTTGCTGTTCTGCTTGCCCATGGCGGCCGGCGGCTACACCTGCAAGACAGGGCGTCAGCTGGCTCCCCACCACCTACAGACGCTGAGGAGGCTGAGAACTGCGCCCTGCGCCCAGAGCTGGAGAGGGCCCCACAGGGCCATCGCTGGGCACAGCTGTCTGAGCCCTCCAGGCTGCCCTGCGGGAAGGCCATTGGTCCACGCACCGCTAGGAAGGCCGAGACGCTCGACCTGCGCACTAGAAGATGCACTCGGATTTGAGAATGTGGAAATGTGAGAAAAAAATGCACCTTAAAATCAACGGGATGAGGCGTATCAGGTGACCACGTGGAGGTGTACAAGATTTGAGGATTAAGTCCTCGCAGGCATCGCCCGTTGCAGCCCAGACCCTGTGTTCTGAGCAGCTCTCTCTTGGGCACCTCGGTCTGTTTTTATCCCTAAAGCAAGGATAAAAACATCAGGCCCCTGGGGGAGTGCGGTTCCCACAGGCCTGGATGTAAGACTGACTGGTCCTGGGGAGAGATCACTATCAGACATTAATACACCTTTTACCTGGCTTTCTGACTTTAACAGTAACAGTAAATGTGGTTTAATCATTTCGGAAGCACTTATAGGGTTGTCAGAAAAGTCATCATGCATTTTTGCAACGAAAAACATAGAAAAAGTACGTCATGACTTTTCCGACAACCCAATAAAAGACTAGACAATAAAAAAATGTTTCCTGCCCTAGTCCTTTGAACTGCCTCTACACATATGAATTCTAAGCAGTATTTACCAGATCCATTCCGAAAGACAGTAAGTGTAGCTCACCGATTCTCCCTGGCGCATGCGCTTTCTTCCTTGCCCCCTCCCAGGGTTTATTACTTTTATACATACATATCATTGTTTTTACTTCTCTTTATAATTTTAAATTACACACTTAAAGTTCCTTTTCTAACTTCTGGGTAGGGCAGTTGGCAATATCTTCCAAAGTTACAAACACATTCACTTTGGCCCAGCAAACGCGCTCCGAGGACCACTCCTAAAGATCCTCCCACCTGTGCAAAGAACCTGTGCGCGCTGCCACTTCCTGCATTGTCTGTAATTATAAAACCACCCAGGCGTCCGCCATTACATACTAATACCAATCATCTTCATGATGTATTTTTTTTTTTTAGCTGAGTCATCCTGCCACCTGTTGGCAGCTCAGCTTGGGCCGAGCATCGAACCGCTATTGCTCAGAGCTCGCACTCTTGAGCAAGTTTTTAACCAACTGAGACACTTGCCCCGCCCATGATGTATTTTTAAGTGAAGAGAAATGTGCAGAATAGCATAGTTTGCAACCATTTGTGAAAGAAAAAAAAGAGAAAACAACATATATGTGAATGTTTGTGTGTCTGGAAGTACTTATTAGGGAATGATAACATTGGCTAGAGAAAGAGAGATGGGTGACGGATAAGGGTCAAAAGGGGAGTTTTTATTGTAAATCCTTTCGCAATTTAAAAATGTTGAACTCTGTATATGTATTATTATTCAAAAAAGAAACACACAAAAATAAAAATAACCAAACCTCTATTTGTTGCTCTATCAACTTGAGACGGAATCTCTTGATTCCCTCTCTGTACGAGCAAGCTAGTCTCCTCGCCCCCTTCCCTCCTTTTTCCTTCCACATCAGCTCCTGCGATTGGGAACCACTATTTTTACATTGTCAGGGTTTACGATCTCGACTTCCTGTTTTCCTTATAGGTTGATCCTGAAGAGTGGATACCAACAAATCTCCACGTAACTGAGCTGTCCTTTTCCTGGTGAGGGAGCAGTGAGTGAAGAAGCCAGCACTCAGACCACGTCTGTCTGGCCTAGCCCCACGTCTTGCTGTGGGTGGCCCGAGAAGGCTGGTCCAGAGCAGGGCAACGTGGTCACAAACAATGCCTTTACCAGGCCACCTTAGATAGTCAGTGGGACATCCTTTCCTTTAATTAGCACTCCTGCACTTTTCGTCATGGACATAAGCCACTTTCTGTGAAGTTCTAGACTCTAGGAGCTCAGGATCGGTCCTTTCAGAATCCACTCAACTCACTGCAAAGCAAACTGCCACTCAGAATGACGGTATCAATTTGCTTCAGAATATATCTGTGATTTGTGTTCTTTCAGGTCTCACTGAAACACCAAACTCCTAACACCTCCTCTGCCTGAAATAACAAATGTTTATTGAAAGGAAGGTACCAGATTAGTGAGAGTGACAAGTACAGTCAACACAATCCCTAGAAGGGAAGAGCCGGAGTGCGCTACGGTCGGCCTGGGGGGAAGCTTGCTGCCTTCCCATGTGCCCCAGGAGGCAGACACGTGTAACTGTAGAACCCGCCTCCCAGCTCCTCCTTCTCACAGCACTTCCCACATCTCGCTGGGCCTGGCACAGAGCGGTGTCTGTATGGGTTGAATGGGCGTTCTTGCCTTTGTGGTGGTTGTATGTGCGTGTGCACACACACATGCACACACACACAGACACCTGCTTTCAGGTCTTGCTGACTTTGGAGAGAGGGACGTTTTAGGGAAAGCTGGCATAGAGCCTGGGCGACTCCCCCTTGGGGGATGTGATTAGGGGGCATTTCCTGGGGATTTAGGGGCTTATGGGATGTGGAAAGGGGAGAAAGAAGGACTGTAGTCTCTGGCCTAGCACTGAACAGAGCAGCAACCCTTTGATCTGTTTCTACATCCAGTCTCATTCAAAGAAAGTGTTGTGTTGGTAAAAACAAGCCTGACAGCCAAGACCAGCTTACTTTAACACCCCGAGTCCAACAGCATATACATGTAGTAGGATATGGAGGCAGAAGAGTACGGGGATCCCACGATGGTAGAATATTTTTGCACCATTCTGTTAAAAAACAATCCACATGTCCCCCCCCCCCGTCCCCCAACGACAAGGAGAACAAGAAACAGAAAACAAAAGTCATATGTGTGATTTTGTTTATGACCTTGACCATGTCTATGAGGTCATGCCTGTGACCCTAAGCCCCAACACACACCAGTGGAAAGATGGCAAACGACAGAGCAGGGCAGAGGGAAGGCAAACCTCAGGGCCTGCAGAGAGGAGAAGCAGGCCAACTGGCACCACAGAATATCCCAGAAGGGTCAAGGACTGGGGGTCCCCAGTGCCCTGATGATGCAACCAAATATTAATCATCTTTGGAAATCTTGAACTAGCTCTGAACAAGTATTTAATAAGATCATATTTCATATTCACCACCATCTGGCTGCTTCAGGGGATACAGAGGTATCGGGCATGAGTTCTGCTTCAAAGCGCTTATCAGGGCCAAGCACACAGGCAACTCACTCACACTGGTTCCTTTTAGCAGCAAATAAACTAGCAGCAATACTACTAACTGCAGCCACAATTCACCTTGCACTCACGCCGTGACAGGCGCTGTGCAGACCATTTTACAAATGGTGAAATTGAGGCCCAGGAGGCTGTTAACTGGCCCAGGGTCCCACAGCTGATGGAGCTGGGATATGAACACTAGTCATCTTGAGCTTGATCACAGAGCTCTGCCACTAACCCTGAACCCTGGGAGGTGGCCAGGGCAGGCCTGGCATGTCCAGCCGTATAGAAGAGAGAAGTCAGCCTGGGAGAACTGAGTGATGTGTCCAGGAAACAAAAAAGATAAATTTCATTTTGAGGAAAAACTATCAGGAAATCGTGGCTAGAAAAACATGCTTTCCTGCCATCATCTTGAAGGTTGAGTTAGTTAAAACCTGGGGCTGTCAAAATAATGGCTGATGGGAGACCACATTTTTGAGAATGAAGCTGCAGGAACAGATCACTGATTTCCATCTCCTTTATGGAGACCCCACTGCACCCACCTCCGCTTGTTTGATTTCTTGACCACACCCAGTCAGCTGAATTAAAGGGCTATAATAGCATAACCACTTTTTTTTTTTAATTGGGGAATTGGGGGAGGGGAATAGCATTGGGGAATCAGGGAAGGGGAACAGACAAGTTGCTGTCCTTTGGTTCTTCAGTCTAGTTGTGGAGGATGTCGCTTCAATGGCTCATGTTGGTATTATGATCATTGTGCTTTTCCCAGGTGAGGCAGATTGGTCGCCGGCCCTTCGACGGCCTCGCACGGCGGCTCACGGCAGCTCGCGCCGGCTGCCAGCCACTCAGGTAGCTCATGGCAGCCCAGCTGCTCAGAGCTCACGCTCCCAAGCCAACTCTTAACCAACTGAGCCACTTGGCCAGCCCCAGCATAACCATTTTTTAAGTCAGTAACATTACTTTTACTATAGAAAGTTCAAGACAAGTGCAAGAATGTTAGAACCAACCTGGAGTACCAGGTAAAAATCCAGAGCTGGGGCGCTTATGTAGGTCGAAATTTCCCAAGAGTACAAGCTGCATTTAGATGGAAAGCGTTCTGCAGATGGTGGCACAACAGTGTGGGTATACTTAACACTACTGAACTGTACACTTAAAAATGGCTAAGATGGCAAATTGTATGTTATGTATATTTTACCACAATTAAAAAGTGGTGGAGGGCGGGTGTACTCCTGGGAGGGTGGGGAGGCATGAAAGGGCTTCCCTGTGGATTGGTCTTCCTCAGGCTCACCCTGGTATGATTGTCTAGCACCCTGGGTCTGCAGGTCCCAGGGCAGAGTCCTGTGTCCCTATTTGATGTGGGGTCCCTCTCATCACAGGGGTGACCCCTCCCGAAAAAGGCAATGGAGTCCAGGGAGGTGGCACAACCTCCCTGGAAGAATCTGGAACCTTGCTGTCTGGAGATCCCGTGTGCCTCATCATGCCCTGTGTCATGCCCTGCGCCATTAGTTGTACGAACACTTGTGCACATGTCCACTAGCGGGTGCTCTGCTCCCCAAAAGCCTGAGCCCAGGAGTGCAGGCTGACCTCAACCCAGCATGTCCTCAGGGCCAGGTGCCAGCTGGGTGCTCGGTGGGGGCTCAGCGTATTCCAGTCCATGGCCTGGGGATTCAGGTGCTCGTTTCCAGGGCTCCAGGCTGTTTATGGCACAGGTGCACAGGGATGGGCACAAAAAGCGACACGAGGGCCAGCCGAGTGGCGCGTTGGTTAAGAGTTGGCCCTGATTCGGATCCCACATGAGGGCCAGTGACGCTGCACCCTCTACAGCCAAGATGGTGAACAACAGCTCGACCTGGAGCTGGGCTGCTGTAAGTCACTGGCGACAGCGTAGGCTGCAGTGGGGGTGGCCGGCAGCAGGCGTGAGCTTTTGTGAGAGGCCATCCAATGGCCTCCCAGCGGCTGCCTCACCCTGGAAGAGCGCAATGATAATACCAACATGGGCCAGTGAAGCAACGTCCTCCACAACTAGACTGCAGAACAAAAAGGACAGCAACTTGTCTGTTCCCCTTCCCCGATTCTTCAATGCTGTTTCCCTCTC